ACAAGTCGCTCCAGTCTTTCCTTCTCCATCTCAATTCTTCTCTGCATGTAGGAAAAAAGATAGATTACTTGCAACATTTTGCCTCTTGTACACTTTTAAGTATATGAATCTTTGTAATGCACCTCCACTTTTTATGATTTACCAACAAAACCATCTTTGTAATTCACCTCCAATAGAATTGCATTTTGATAAAGGACTCAAATAGAATTTCATTGTAACTGGATAATGGGGAGTTTCAAATTAAAACTAAAAGTACCTTTAGGGGAGTTTATGTCATACTAAGTACTATTATCCCTTATATGTGAAGATACCTAATGAATGGGGTCAAATCACAAAGACAGAAGTATTCAAATCCACATCCATATGTTTTGACATACTCAGAAATTTACCTTAATAGCTTTAGTCAGCATACCATCCTTCCCACAGAAACTTTTCCATCTCACGTTTCTACTGTTTAGATTCTTAAGAGCAGAGAGCTCCCACAATGCCTCGATAGCTTCACTAGCTGCTCCTATAAGCAACTTATCATGTGAAAGTGAAGTTTTACGACGTTGCTTGCTGTAGAGCTCCACTGCAGTTAGTCCATGCTCTAACCAATCAACAGGGGCCAGATTAACGGCCTCCGCGCAGTTGAACCCACAGTTAAATCCAGAATGATAGGCTCTTGGGAATGTGAGCACAAACTCCCCTGGGTTCTGAACAGCACGGTACACTGGTACACCCTCTGACTTCAAAACTGAAGGAGACAACTGAGTTACCTGAAAAAATCAATGATGAATTTGATATGAGGGTCAGCCCAACTTATTCCAAACTCAAACTACCAAGAAATGCGCCAATGTACTGGAAAAAGATTAGAGGGCTGAGGGGAAGCTGAATTAACAAGAGAAAAGAATCTTGATGGCAATTTGTACAATTTATTAAAAGCGAAAGAATAGAATTTCAGATGTTCCACAAGTGACAAGTAAACATTTCTGTTACGATATTCACATCTGTAAGTTGATGAGTAAACTTAGCAATTAGGTGAGGTTTATGAAAAGGAAAAGGGACTTGCATAGCTCATTGTAACTAGAGGAGCAACTTGCATAGCTCATCACTGCTCGACTTAGCCGGTGGAGTATTATAGAACTAGGATGACTAATGCTTGATCAAGATTTAGTTTGGAGTACTTACAAGTTCGTGAAGCAAATCAGGTTGCTCTTCAAACAGATCTGGCAAATGCTTTCTCATTGCATCCTCCAGGGCTGAAGCATGAGTTCCTGGCACTCCATACCAAATCTTTGGCTCACCCCAATGCATATAATTCAGAGAATAAAGATGGTGGTCCTCAACGTGCTTTAATTAGATAAAAGGAAGCAAGTATTCAGTCAACATAAAGCAAATAAGTTGATCGAATAGTAATGAAAAAAAAGAAAGAAAGAGAAATGTGTGGAGTTTTTTTTTTGGGGGGGTGGNACATACCCAACAGAATGATGAGAAGCACATTCCAATATACAGCCACGGGATCAAAACTCCTGAGATATTGCACTCCTCAAAGCACAATACAGAACATGGCAGGCGCGGTAAGTTGTTCAAGTTCCAACCAGAAGTCGCATACTGATTTAAAGTACGAGCATTTGGAGATAAAGATTCTTGGGGGAATCCACTGCCGAATACTCCAGTTTCCAGATCAGCTCCATAGTACACCTACTCATCAGATGAAGGTAAATAATTTAGTCTTCAACTGATGAGCACATAATAGATATCTCATAATACAAAGTAAATACCAAACTAAATTCCCTTACCTCAACTTCATCTGTTGGCTTCTCAATGATGCGCCAATACTCACCTTCAATTTCTTCAATGGACGGTTGCCATACCTTGTCCTGTTTAGGTTCATCACAGGCTCCATCTTCAGGATCCGTCATCCCAAAATAGAACTCTTTAAAATCTTTGGAAAACGTCTCAAATTCCTCAAATGTGAAGTCAGACCCTGACTGAAACCCGAACTTCTCATCACTATTGTTCGATTGAGTATTTGATTCAGAACCTAGAGCTCTTGGTTGTCTCCTCGTTGATCCCATCTTTGAGTACCATCGTCTTTTCCTCTTTCTCTGTTTTTTCTTTTTCATGGGCTCCCTATTCTGAAGTAAATCAACTTGCTGGATTCGAGTCGAGAACTTAGCAAATTCCCACACATTCTTCTCTCTAAGTGGGCAGGGTGGACTCCAAGATGCAGGTGGTACAATCCTGCATATGCCATATGGCTGTGCGTAGGGGCGAATGCTTGCAATATAACCAAGTGGATCTTTGAACTCCTATCGTTTGACCACAGGATGAGCTTAACCAATGGCTTTAAGCACACAAACGGGAATATAATAACTTTTGAACATGAAGTTTACCTCATCATTTGGATAGTACACAGGAGCATCCTGTAAGATGGGCCTACAAGCTTCGCCAGGATTCCATCTTGCTGACACCTGTTCCAGAACAAGAAAGAACTACTTATGTACAGAGAGGAAAAGGTAGGTCCTATGAGTGCCATGGTATGTATTAGACAGCAACGGGGTCATGCTTAACAAAATGGATGTTAGAAATTAAACTAAAAAGATAATGATTTTAATTATCCAAGTTTATTAGCAACATCCACCACCACCACCAACAACAACATACCCAGCATAATCCCACATAGTGGGGAGGGTAGTATGTACGCACACTTACCCCTACCTTGCGGAGGTAGAGTGGTTGTTTTCAATAGACCCTTTGCCGGGAAAGCAAAAGCACCACATGAATAATAAGAAAAACAAGACGGGACAATACCGAGAAGCCATGTAAAAGCAGCATAAATAACAACAAGATAATAAGATGATCGAAATGCAAAAAACGTCAGGTAGTCATAGAAACCTAATACCAACAGAATGTGAGAGTATGAACTAATACTACCGGTATGAATAATCTAGACTGCCTAACTTACTACCCTAATCCTCGACCTCCACACCTTCCTGTCAATGCTCATTAGCAACATCCACCAATGTCTATAAATTAGAACACATGCATGACTAGGCATTCTACGACATCAAACATGGAGAATCGGCACAATTTTAGACACAGTACATGATTAATCATATTTCTGCAAGATATGCGATGATGAACACCAAATCGAAAAGGAGTTATAGATTTTTCCTTTTTACCTTCCGACTACGAGGGCTGCCTGAACTCTCAATATTATTTTCACCTTTTGGAGCCTGTCTAGAAGGATGTTCCTGCAGGGGAAGAGAATAGAGTTAAATCTCAATCAGATGAAAGAATTTAGTCTTCAAATTGTTTTTTCTACATAATTGAATGTGATTTCTACTTAAGAAAGTTCTTTTAGTCAAAAAGCATTCAAGATTAAATTGTTCAAAATTTGTTTAGTTTGCAAAAACTGATCAACTAGCGGTCAGATCAGTAATCTCTTGAGTGCAAGAGAACAAATACTGGATATGACAGTGTACATTTTATGAGTCAGACACCCAGCATAAAAAAGCCATAAGATAACGGTGATGTGTAATTATCCATTTATCCGTCTTTTTTTCCTTATCCTACATTCCACCCTCGTCAGAAGAGGGATCAAAAGAACCAGAAAGCATCATTATTTTATCAGCATTGTCTTCACTCAAGACAATCTGATCAACCAAGAAAGAAGAGAGGAATCGTGAAAAGTACTCAACAGATCTAACTCTTTCAGATATAAGGATCAATTTGAATGGAATATCAGCAGTTGTATGATGCGCAAATGTCACTTCTCCCTTTCCTTGCTAAAGGAAAATTCAGCAGAGCGATGAGCATCAAAATTTGGATCTTGCTAAAAAGTCTTAACCAAATAAAGTTAGGAAGTAGTAAAAGCAGAAGACAACCAGCCATGCATTTGGTCATTGAATGATATGACAAAGTACTTAAAAGTTTTAGAAGAAATCCAGATGATGATCTGACGAAGAGTGTAGGCCTATCTTACATGTGAAAATGTTTATTTTATCTGAAAAAACAGGGTACTCCATTTGATTTCATAAAAACGTTACTGTCACGAAGACATATCTACAGACTTTGATTTTGTTAATATTAAAAGGAGCAGCTTCTTTAGCCCTCTAAACATCCGATTCTTCTTTGTTTCCTTTTGTGTTTCTTTAAAAATCTCACAGAAGTACAGATCTAAACTGAACATATAAGGTAAAGGCCACATAACATATCGGAGAACAAGTCACAGAAGTACAGATCTAAACTGAGCATATAAGGTAAAGGCCACATAACATATCGGAGAACAAGATAGATATGGGAAAGAAATTAAGACTTCAAAATCAATTAAAATACATAAATAAGTTACAAATCAAAAGCCAAGCTTCAAACCTTCATGCTCTTTTTTTCAGATTGCGCCCTGGAGCACATATACCCCTAATTTTATGCTTGAAGGATAATATATAACCTTCACCTTGTCAGAGATCTAAAAATGGAACGATGCTTAATGAACTGGTGCTCTTCTCTCTTCAGTTATATAGACTTTTCCGTGAAGTTATATCTTCAGATTCTGGATTGCAGAAATCCGTATTGATTACAGATATGAATTTTCAACTGCCAACGCATCAAAACGACAATGTAAGAAAGAACGGAAGGCAAATTGATATAAATGACCATTTGAAGAGAATCCTCCAAAGATTACCGCTGACTTAAATAGACGGGTAGTGGAACAGAAAACAAACTCTATTCAATGCATGAACCATTATTTACATTTCCCTTACTAGCCAAAGGCTCTCAAAATGTAAGCCTGGGGTGAACGCTAGTAATTCAAGATCCTAAAAAATTTCAAACAATGCGATATGGTTTTACCCTTTACATCAATGTGGTGACCATGTATTTTCAAAATGTAATGGTGATCTTCCTCGATACAACTAGACCCCGATTAAATCAGAATTCTGCACTAATTTAATAGCCAATAAAGGACTTCAGCAATCTATCGACATTTTGTGGCAGGAATTATTTTAAAAAAGATAACTGGAGATAGTTCCAAAAACTAAAGAGACTAAAGCTACATTTTTACTTCGATTCACAACACACTCTAAATTGGCAGGAACGAGGGCAGATTTGCCGAATACGTTCCAAGCAGGTATATAGCCTATTTAATATCAGTAGAGGAAGATAATATTTAGCAAAGAACATTACAACATAAATGAATGAAATACACACTAAAAAGGCAGCCTATTTTCATCAGATTCAGTTATATTAAGCACACGATCTGCAATTCTGGAGCTATGATGTCTAGTGATTCCAATGGAAGAATGGGCTTATAGAGTGGAACTTCTAAGCCTTCTCTATGCCCTCAATATCAATCATACAAATCTTTAGTGCTACCATTTTGCAGTTACTGCAATAATTACAGCTCCTGCGCCTACCAAGATTCATAAATGTATTCAGACTAAGCTAATCTCG